AATGGTACAAGTCCAGCCAAGCTAAAAAGCTTATAGGCTCATGTTAACTGACAAGCACATTTGCTCGGCAGTTTTTTAACAAAATATTATGCACAATCTATTACATATAAGCGTGTGTGTGTAATTCAGTTCATCGACAAGTATAATCTTTTTATTTTGTATTTAACTTCACATTTTCTTTGCAAACTTCTCAATTCAAGTGGTAAGTGATTCCATAATCGTGGCACAATATATATTTAACAAGTTAATTTTGATTTCTGTTTTAACTTTTGTGAAATGAAAAATGAAAATTATGGGTTCTCTTTTGATGTCCGGTGTTTTAGCAGACCTCTGCTAGTTACAATTTCTGATCGTTTAATTTGCTGTTCATATTGACTTTGAATAGAATAAACAATAATAAAACATGTGATAATCAAAATTAAAAAAAAAATAAGAATACTTATCATCTTTAAATTTTTATAAAAATATTTATGATTGATTGAAGTCAACCCTCTCTCCACAATTTTTTTTTCTCCTTTTTAATAAAATTACTAAAATTATAGGGTTGGAACGTGATATCTGATATGGTCTCAGATTAAATGCGTATCACATTGGTGAACAACAATTCATTTTCTTTTTTAACAGCGGAATCCAATTGAAGAATTCATTGCTTAAGGATATCGTTCAAATTGCCTATTTTTGCAGCACTTACAAATTTGATCCCCCTGGAGAACACCACCATTAAATCGGGCTCTCATTACTTTTTAAGCTGACACGGCAGGCAGGGAAATGAAAAGGAAAAAGTGGCTGGACGAAAGTGGCGGTGGCGGTAAAAAGCAGCAAGCAAGGCAACCAACATGGCGGGTTTGCTAAGATTCGCCACACGCTCGTTGCGTAGCCATGACAACCGTGTCTCTCTTTCATAAAATAAGCAGCGAGGTGCTGCGGAAAATGAGAGGGAGGGGGAGATTATCAGCTCATAGGGGTGGCCGGTGTGATTATTATTTCATGCACCAGCCGGTCAAATGATTATCATCCTGTGGCACCTCTCGTTCATATTTCATTTTGGACTTTCGGCCAAAATTTCGGCTACGCAAAAAGTATACAATGATATAAAGAGAAGTCACGCGTGTCGGATTAAAGTGGTCGTGAGAACTGCGGTGAGTGGCAGTCGGAGACGAACGGCGTTTTGCAATTAGCATGAAGCTCTGCTGTGACCACACACGCGCTCCGGCTCTCATAACGTAAATACTCCTCATACCGAAACACAACGGACACATTGTCTCGCAAAGAGCAGAGGCGAAAGGATTATTCCGCTGTCGCAATGGCCCTTGAAAGCGGCTGGCGTCTCCGAAAAGATGCTTTAGGGCTACTAACTCAAGGAAAACTTCCAAATACAGAAGAAATAAAAAATAAATAATTTGCAACTAAATCGATTTAATGAAATTTAATTTAAGATGCTGTAAAAGAACAAATTTTTATCCGCGCCCCCTCTGAAGAAGAGTTTGCACTGTTTTGTGCGAAGAAAGGATTTTCCTTCAATGATGGCGGCCACCATTTAAATTTTCAATTCAATTCATTTATTCTCTCGCAACAAGTCAAACAAAAATTGAAAAATCACATTGGGAGAGAATTGGCAGCCAGCTCTAGTAAACAACTTACTAAAACTCATAAACTTAATTTGAAAGCAATTAAAGTGTTTCCAACTTAAACCTACTCGCTGAACTGGAGCCGAGTTTCGAGAGGAATTCAGTTCTGGGTTGGGTCCTTCTTGTTTCTGTTGCGTTATAAACCAAATTTTAATCTGTTTAGATAATTTGCAGCATAAGAAGCTAGTTATGAGTTGGCTCCGAAATTAACGTCTGAATCATCTTTCGCTGCGATCTGACACTTCTGACAGAACATTTACAACAAGCTCTCTTGTGAATAGCCCTATTGCATTCGCCATCAAGTGAGACACACTCTAGCTGTGTGAGAGTATTCTATGCGTATTATCTCTTAAGGACAGATTAGGGGTGCATTGGCAATGCTCTCTATTTTTCGTCCCCTCCACTCACTTATCTTGTTATTTTAACTGGCGTGTGTTTCGCACATTTCATTGTTGCAGCAGCAATCCGTCCGTCCACCATTCGCCCACACGCAAATAACGCACCATATAAGCATTGTTTGGTAGAAAGAGACCGAGTTTTGGACCGCGCGTGGAAAGGCGATTTGCGTCCAAAAAGGAATTCATTCAAATGCGATTCTGAAATTAAGCTGGGCACAGTTGTTTAGATTTTGAAATAAGCACTGAATAGGGAGATAGAGATAGAGAGAGAAAAGTTTGTAAAAGAAGGAAAATCTTCTAAATTAATCTTCTATTAATTATTCATGAAACTTATTTTGTTCTATATGTTTCAAATGGGGCGCGTCGCAGTGAGTCATTATACATCGTGGTGACGCCTCATAAGTCAATAAATATCAATAATAATGAAGAACCGCAAAATTTTCAGATCTGCAAGTGCTTTTTTTAGAAGACCTTGATTAATGCATTACAGAAATTATTGTTAATGTTATTTCATCTAAACGGAACGAAGAAATTTTCCAGATTACTGAATTTCATTTCAACTTGCAAATTATATTGTTCTATTTTCCATACTCATTCTCTCCGAAGTGTTCCAACTGACAAGAAAAATAATGAATATTTGTGTTAAACTGTGATTTATGTTTGTAACCGTGCAAGACAACTCCTCCGAGAGCTCAATTTCAAATTTCACCAGCACTTCTCTTCATATACCCAAGAGGGTGCATCTCTCTGTTGCGCTGACAATGAATTCTGCTCGTTAATTCGCGGCTCTCGCGAGATGCGAGTTATGATTAATCGCTGCCCGCACACTCCTTTGTGATAAAGGAAGCGTGCAAAATTAATAAGCAATTACGAGAGCCGCCGAGTCGTAATGAGCTGCGAGCACTCTTGCTTCCCCCACAGCTAAAAGTGAACACAACGTGCAATAAAACGAGCAAATAAATTGCTCGGCAATAATTGATGCGCGCGTCTTGTTACTCTCACACATATCAGCATAAATTGCCCAACATATGTGCGACTATGGTAAAAGTGCGTGTAAGGGGTCGCTCGTTACGGTCCCTTATTTTCGACGGCATCCGAAACTCCAAGGGACCTGCTGCACCCCTGCATCAAACAGAAACCGGTCGCTTGAAAACTCAGCGTAATTGTTGCTGGTCAGAGCGTAATTTATTAATTCAAATCACATCATCAAATATGACAAATATGTTTCCATTGTTTCAAAATATTAACAACAAAAATCTTGTTGGCGTGTAAACATTTACTGAGCGTAGGCTGCACAGTGAATATAAGGAAAAATACTAATTCATTAAAAATGATATAAGAAAATTTATAACGATTGTTGTTATATCCAATTTTAAGTTCTTCTTTAATTTTAATTTTTAATTTATTTGAGAAGAAAATTATCTCCACCAAATAAACTATTACTTTCAAGCAAAAAGCGGCAAGAATATGTTTTATTTTTCTACTGAAACCAAGACAATAAATATTTCAAAATATGAATTTATTGTTCTTTATATACACACTGAGAAAAAACTGCATGACCTTTGTGTAAGGCCGCTTGTGAATTTATGTAAGTGCATAGAAGGCGCGACCCTTTTGCGTCCACAACCGCTACTTTTCCAAGTTTTTGGTGGTTACGGCAACAAGGAGAAAATTGATCGTACACCGAGTGTCGAGCGGTTGGAAAAATTGCCAGGCTCACACTTCCTGCAAACCTACACAAGTCGTCTTTCCGCCTCCTCAGCCACAGACCAAAAATCTTTAAACAGTCGCTGCGGTGGCACTTTCTTACCCCAACTTACCTTTTACTCCATTTCATTTTAACTTTAATGCAAGTATACCAAAATCAGGCTTAATTTTGCCTGAAAGTTGAGAAATGGTAAAATTCCTTTTATTTATTAATTCCCTCCCAATCTGATTGATGCAATTAAAAAAAATTCAACTTTTTTACACACAAATTAGCATTTTTCACGGGAAAATTTCCCCACGGTCGAAAAAACAAACATCAAATGTTTAAATTATTTAATTTCATGGAAAAATTGTACTAATTAATCTCTGGTCTAATTTTCTCGCTCTTGTTGTAATCAAATTTTTAATGTATATGAATGAGATATTAGGGCAGATATCAATAAAGTAATATTTGAAACTGTGAGCTCGTTTTTCACCTCAAGAACATGTTCTACGTCGAATGGCCAGTTGTACTTGCACGTGCTCATTCAAGTTATCAAATTTATTATATTTAAGTAAATAAATAATTTTATTGATTGCTCTTTATTGACTTCAGAAAAAATAATACTCTTGAATTTTGCTTGGGACGATTTTGAAGTTCTGTATTTGATTTATAATTTTGCTAGCTCTTTCAATAATTTTCTTAGAAAAAAGAATGGGCTGTGATGTGATTTTAGGTAGTCTGTGTAGAGGCAAATATTTATTTTGACATTTTTATTCACTCGCAAACATGCAATTCCGCGCGCCCCCTCACTGCTTAGGCGGTGGGAACGTCGCGTGTTGTGATGCGCGACTCAAATATGCATGCATGCAAGTTCCCAGCAGCTAAGTGCTTCTCTGTGAAATCTCCACATATACTCTCGCTATCGATCCCAATACGAGAGATGTGTACACACAAAGCCAAAACTCTTAATCCGGCCGCGGCGGCGCTCCCTAAAACGTTGCCTGCACCTTCGCAGCCGGCTTAAAAGTGCCACTTTCGGCACAAGTGCTTGACGCCTGCTCTCCGACACCTCTTCGCCATGTTATTTGCAAGCGAAAAAAAAGAGCGCGACGGGAAAAATTGATCTGCCCGGCTGCCAGGAAATAGAAAGGTCATGCAACACAATTTCCACCACCGGATGCTCACAAAATGAGCACTCATTGCCAATTCCTGCGAATTCAGTTTTGATTCTCGAGTCAAATTTTTTGGAACTGATTGATTATTATTATTGGAAAGTGGAATTGAGTTATAGATAAAATTGATTCGAGTCGCCAACAGTACACTGCATAGAAATGTCGGCGTTTGTGAAAACTTCATTGGTCGCATTTGTGGTGAGAAGTTGGAAATGTATTTTGAAAAAATAACGAAGTAAAATTTCAGATACTTTTTACAAGTGGTAAAATGGCTAACAGCCTGCCAAATAATGTGAAATCAAACAACGGGAATGTTGGTTTGGTCCAAACTGCGACAAGATTCATCGGCAGCGCCATTCCTGTGTCATTTTTTCAGCCAAGTATATTTTCCAAAATTAATTAAATTAAATCTATCATATTATTCAAAATACAAATTTAATATTAACCGCTGTTTTAGGAATGATAAGAAATATTTTATGTATTATTGCCAATTACAATTGAGAAAATCTACTGTAAATTTCTAATCCATAAATGAATTTGGTCTGTAATAAGTTGTGATTAAAAATGGACCACTTTTTCATTTTTCTTTTATTAATCAGAGCATTAATGATATTAAAATCTTCATTTGATAGATGAGGAGAAGCACAGGTCACGCAGGGCATTTGTTATAAATTGCTGCGGCTTTTATCGCTGCGTTAATGGCCGCAAGCAGAATGTAACGACGACCAAGTGCACGAAGTCCTCATCAGGCCTTGACCTGTCACTCCCGACCTTGCCGACCCTGCCCCCTGTGGACACGGGTTTGTTAGGGGCGATTGGCAACGCGGCCGACTCGCTCTTAGGCGGCGGGGTCCCCACCATTCCCACCCTGCCAACCTTGCCTCCACTCAACATCAACTTGCCCTCCTTGGGATCAACCATCACCGTTTTAGGATCAACCTGTCCCACTGGGTACACGTCCGACACATCGGCGATCACCGGTGGGTCTGGTGGCGGTCTTTTGAGTGGACTCTTTGGAAAATGAGAAGAAGAAAATTTGAATAAAAATTGAACCAAAAAATATTAGTTTTTTTAACAATACACCAACTTTTCAATTCACTGTTCTTCCTGAGATAGCAATATAAGGTAATTAAATTCATTTACTCCCTTAAGGACTCCTTATTGACATAGTCAAATCAAGTCTTTACACAAATCAGAGCCAAGTTTTGCGATTATCCAAAATGTTTGACCTTCATTGTTGCAAAACTTGATTTGACTATGCCAATAAGGAGCCTCTAAGGCCCTTTTTTAATTTAAGTGTATCTCTTAATTTTTTTATAAGCTAAAAATTCCATACATATTAAAATTATTTCATTATATTTCCAAACAAATGATTAATATTAATTAATCAATTAATAATTACATAATGAAACTGCCCTCAACAAAATTTGCAAAAATTATTATTCTTTAATGACTCTCCTTAAAATTGAAGCTTTCTAGAGCGCTTTCCTTAATTTCCCTAAAGGAAAACAAGCGGCAAAAGTTGCTCACCTAGCCCCATTTTCCAGCACGTAAGGGGTGAATTTTACAACCCTTTTACAGAGGCAGCTTAACAAGCTGCTAAGCTGGTGACGAACTTTGCTATGTATTGCGCCAAACTTTTGAAATAACCCTTTGCACTTGGCGCCCCTAAGATCGCTGGCTGGTAATTTGCAGAGCTGCACCAATGTGCTGAATTTATCATGAGGCCCATTCAAAGTACGGCCGTAATTAGTTCTCTCTTTCTCACTGCGATGATATTACACGCGCCGATGACCCTGGTTGCTTATTATTCCCGCCGCCGCGCGTCTCTCCTGCTCGTTATAATTAGCGCGCCGTAACAAAATGTTTTTGCACCTACTCGGGCACGCAATTCGTAATTAATTGCTCCAAACTGAGCTCATTACCGCACTAGAAAGCGAAACTTTTGTCGCTATCAACCCAATAACCCATGTTAGATTTGCGGCTTTGAGAATAAAAACGTAAAATACATACAGATTTGCTGCTTTTCCACTTTGTGATTAGCAGGAATTCTAGCACCGATTTTTATTGTTAAATTTCACAAAGGGCTCAAAATCCCAGTCATGTACCAAGAAAAACCATTAAAAATACGTTAATAATCCACATACATGGGCAGAGAGCAATTTGCGCTTATGAGCGCGATTGCACGATTTTCAAAATCGTGAGCGCAGAGCGCAGCGCTCATTTTGCGCTCAAACCAAAAGTATAAATTCCAAAATTTCATCAAAAATTGTAACGAAAAACAGTTTTTTTATACGAAAAAAAGCATTGAAACTGATCCCAATTTTGGAAAATTTAAGTTCAAGTTTATCATTTTCAATTGATAAAAAAAAACCCATCTAAATAAATATTTTTTTTTTTTATTTTTTTTATTTTTTTGGGTCAGGCCAAAAAAATTGTCTAATTAGTCAATTTTTCTAGTTATTCTTGAGGAAACAATATTTTTGAGCGCGAAGCGTGAGCGCAAGACTTTCGATTTGATCGCGAGCGCAAAATTGTTGAGCGCATCCATGTATGCTAATTCACCTCTGCACAGCTCCAATGAAAATAAACTTGAACGCATAATTTCCTGGCAAATTTAAACAGCAAAAATGAAAACCTCAAATCCGATCAACCACAAGCCTCTCATATTTTCACATGACTACAAGAAAAAAATTAAAAAATTTTACGTCAGCCTACTATACAAACATTACAAACAAACAAGGAAGTGTAGAGATCGGGCTTTTTGCTCATTGTAAAAATTATTTTGTTTTTATTCAAAAATAAGACAGCTCTACAAGTTTTAGTCAGGGTCTTTTAATTTGTTAAAAAATATCTTGACTTTAGTAATTAGACAAACGAATAAAACTAGAAAAATAAATAATTATATCTTGTGAATTTAATTTTTTTGACAATTCAACATTTCTTTCCTGCTGTGTAAAAAAATTTCTGCTGCTTCTTTATGCTCATCCTTCTATCGGCCTGTAAGTGTCACATTTTAATTTCTTGCCGGCCTAATTGACACGCAAGAGAGCAGCGGTCGGTCGCCAACAGCAAAAAGAAACACGTGTTTCCTTCTGTGGGAAGCGCGCGGCGGGTGGATGTTGTTTGTACCTGCTGCCGGGAGTCGGATGAGAGAATCGGGCCCATTTCAAGCTCATTAAAAATAATTGGAGTTATTAGTTAATTAGCGGCAGACGCGGTTGTTGATTGTGAGCATAAGGAGGCGGCTCTGTTTGCAGTTAACCTGCTGAGGCCCGCGGCGCCTTTGAAGTTGCACCGCGTTCTCTATTAATATTGAATCAACCGACGACTCACAGCCGCCGCTGCCGCTCTTCCCCCTGGCAGTTTCGCATCATCGAGAAAAGCGGCCGCCGCTTAATAAGCGCACCCCTCGAAAGTCTTCCGACCGGCGGAATAGCTCTTTGTGTGTGAGGAACTTAATATACCAAAATGTGCGGCGAAAATTAGTCAAAGAACGTACGGGAAGTATCGCTTTTCAAAGAGAACTTGTATCCCGGATGATTCTGTTAAATGTAGAAAAATGGCCAAAGATGTAATTTGCAATTTTATTCTAGGAAAATATGAGAGTGGATCATGTATACTGAAAAAGTAAGGTTACTTGTAGTAATCGTCACTAAAACAGAGCTTGCAGTTGCTTTTGTGTCATTTTCTTAAGAAACGAGAAAATTAATTAAATTTCACGGAAATTAGTTTGTGCTTTTTCTTCAGATTTTTAATTCAAAATTGTGACGGATTTTGGATCACTAAATTTGCCATCAAAGGTTTAGCTCAAATTCTTTCATCAATTTAGTACACGAGCGCCCAAATGATGAACACAATTCACGCTTGTAATGGATATGCTATGCGCAAACGGAAATGTTCGCCAGCTTGAAAAAGGAATCCAGTAATTTTTAAGATTCACAATTATGTATGTATTCAAATGAATGGTAGTTATAATACGAAGGCAGCCGTGTGTGAGAAAATAAATTGGGTGTTTAAAAAAAGGGAAGGAGGAGCAGCTCGGCTCTACAAAAGCGAGAGCACAAGCGGAAGGAATTCTCGCGCCTCTCTTTCCAGAGCTGCAGCCGTGCTGCTGTATGATTCAACTTTAATTGAAAATGACGAAATCCCCATTCAGATGGTAATGAAGTACTTGGGCAATCCTATTAAGATAAAATAAATCTACAAACAAATCGATGGATGAGAGTGGCGCGCGCCAGCCAGAGAGGGAAATTCACTGCACTGCTATAGAAAGGGGGAGCAAAATCTCTCTTTTGTCTTCAATGGGCCGCATAAATTATCAAGTTAATAGGAATTTTATTCGGCGCGCTCACAGGCAGCAGACAAAAAGCACCGAGGTATAAAATCTCTATTCTGTTTTGCTTCCTAACAAATTCATTTTGTTTCAAATCCAACAAGAACAGGTTGAAAAATAATGAAATTTAAAATAATAATGATAAAATGGTTTAGAGGTGCATGCAATAAGAAAATGCGTGCAAAATCTACCTTTGAAACGTCCAAATGCAGTCAAACACAGTCTTCATTTCAGCATCAATCTATTCCAATATAATTCCATGTAAATTAGTTTTTTCCCTGATCTCCTCCTAAACTCTAACTCCCGATAAATACCTATAGGTGTTTTCTTTTTAAATCAAACTGTTTCTTTTTTAATCTTCTTTTCAGATAGCAAATTTTTAATCAAAATGAAGGACTTTGCAACATTTTGCTGATGGTCATCTTGGCTTCAACAGCGTCAAATCTGTAAGAATCAACAATGTGACAGTTTGGTTTTAATTTACTTGGTTTTCTAAACAATACCATTTAAACTAGAGATATCAAAATGGTCTGATGGTACAAAGTTTTTGCCAAGCAAAGACTTTAGGAGTTCCTGCAGTTCAAGTCGAGACTCCTTTGGGCTGCAGTGCCATAGATAGTCAATCAAGAGCTTGTCTTGTCCTGCTTTAAGCAGTTTAGGCCAAGTGGTGAATAGAGTTTTGTAAATGGTGGGAAACTGGTTGGGCAGGTAGAGGCAGCTGTAGTGCAAAAGACCCTTAGCATAGTGTGGCTCCTTGGCTAGCATTGAGAGAGCCGAGATCAGTCTTGTTAGCGATGACAAAAGTGACTGAAACAAATAATACATTTCATACTTTAGCTAACACATTCAAAACAATAAAAAATATTTAATGGAATCTGTAAAAGAAATATCAAATATTTGAGGGAAAAGTTTAAAAAAAAAATTATAACTAAGAATTTAATTGCTCCTCGTTTGTGCCACTTGGTGAAATAGAGTCTACTAAACGAGCTGGCATGAATATTTTCTATTTGTTCTGCTCATTAGGATGCCAGAGTTTAAAAATGATTAATATACTAATGGCCACATGTAAATTAAGATAAGATTCTTTAGTTCAATTTTCAAAATATATATGTGTTCATACCTTTTCATCTTTCTGCGCACGTAAAATTTTAGGTCTTCTTAGGGAGAGTAGCACTTTGATAGCCTCTTTGATGACGGTTACTCCCAAATTGGCCCAGCGTTCTTGACTATCCTCCAGGTGTTTAATGACGAAAATGGATCTCCTCTCATACAAAGTCAGAGGGAAGGGTGGTTTGTCCTTGATCAAAGGGGTCCATCGCTCCTTTGCTACCCCTATGATAAAAGCTCTGAAAAATGAAATTATCAATTGGTTGCTCCATTATTTTATTGTTGTAATTAAGATATTTTTAATTTTGTTGAACACAATAGTGATTATAATGACAATTTAAAAAAGAGAAGACATAGTATGTTACCTCGAGAGGATTTCCGGTGTCACTTCCACAGACATGATTTTAGCATTGTAAAATAAGTCATCTAGCATTCCCTTGCAAAAATGTTCCGTGCTGACACTTAAGCAAGAAATGTGGCCTTTGTATATTTTATGACCGAGATCTAAAGCATGAAATAAAATATAGCTTCGTGGACTAAAAAACATCAATTATACCAACCATAAGATCCCGAAAGAACAGATTTCCTGAAGTTTAAAATTCCTTCTGTTTCTTCTGATTTTTCAACATTCATTCTCTCCTGGCACTCAGTTACCTGAAAACCATTATCTTTGGGCTCTTGAGTTTCACCTTCCGTATAATCAAACGTCTGCAGAGGAGATAGGGGGTTGCTAATAATTTTTTGCAACTTTTCGTCTAACAGCTCTAAGTGAAAATCTTCCTCAAATTTTGCAATTTTTTCTTCCCCGTGATCCATAGTCAACAGTGCCTTTCTTTTCAATTTGTGTACTACTGGCGAGAGAGGTTGAATAAGCGGAGGCAGAGAGCTCATTTCACTCAGGATAAGTTCCATCTCCTTCTCCTCTTCCTCCAAAGTGGCATTTGGTTTATCATAGAAAGGCTCAATTGTCCTTGATAAGGATGCTAAATGTGCTGCAGGCCTCGAGGACTTGCAATAATCTTGACTTGTCCCTTCTACAATAGAAGGGATATTTTCTTCAGCTTGATAATCCTCCTCATCAGGTGTGTCAAACAAACTTGCCAGCAGCATTGATTTTTTTGAAAGAGCACGAGAGACGATTTTAGTCACTTTTTTCTTGGATGATATTAAACTTGTGCTTTCCTCCAAAGATTTTCCCTCTAATGCAGTTGTTTCACCCTTCTCTGAAGTTCTAGGCCATGCTTCACATTTGTCTAGTTGAGGAGAAAGGGATCTTTCAAGGTCTTCTAAAGGTTTATCTGAAATATCTGGAGAAATTGCTTGCAAGGTGATTGGGATTTCCAGAGCTTCCCGTTGATCAGGTACATTACTTGCTTGAGGAATTCGCTGATTTCTTTGTATTCCCAAAACATTTTCATCACTAACTCTCAGTTCAGACATATGGTGGTTTTCCAATGGCGTTTCAGAGGCTAAATTCCGACAAATATCTGTTGTAAGACATTGGTCGATAAATGGCACGCTACAAGCAGCTTGCAAATTTTCATTTTCTTCAATAGCATCAAACATGCTATTCTGGAGTTCTTTCCGACTTGTTTCAGTTTGAGCTTCTACAATGGCTTGATGGTTATCCTCAGCCAGATCTTCAGGACTATTTCCAGTTTCTGTAACCTCAGAAAAGGGAAGACACTGAGCTGGAGTCTGCACAGTTGAATGCGAATATGCTACTTCTGGAACTTCACTCCAAATGGTGGAGACAGTCTCAAAATCCCCGTTGTCCGACACCATTGAAATGGGCGATTCAAGTTGGTGTAAAAATCTGTAGTCGCCCAGTTCAGAGTTGGCAACGCTCCGTGGGCACCCTTCCAGCTCAAGGTCTGTCTGGACACTGACATCTTTGGATGTTTCGGAGGAGTTGTACAAGTCTGTCTGGACACTGAAATCCTTGGATGTTTTGGAGTTGCACAAATCTGTCTGACAAGATACTGTAGCGTAGTTTTGTTTGACGGCTTTGAGCTTTGGAAGTTTAACTGAGACGTTGTTAGCCTTGAGTTTTGGTTTCACTTCACTTCGGTTTGCTTGGGTAATTTCTGTAATAATAAATAATGTAGACTTTAGTTACAATTTCTATAATTATACAATTACAATTAGTGTTTCCCTTTGTTGAAAAATGATTTGTAAAAAAAAACAGCTGTTGCAGTTTAGATCTTTACATAAATAGAATCACAAACTTTAACCAGTAAAGCTGCAATTATTTACAAAAAAAAAAAAAAAAAAAAAAAAATTAACAAGGACAAAAAAGCCTTTTTCCATTTTTTATGTTTAGAATGTTTAAAAAATTTTAATTCAATCAATCACCTTCCAGACGAAAAGAAAGTTGCTGCTTTTGAAATTCGCTGTCTGCAACCATGTTTTTCAGCTTTTCTACCTCGTTATTGTGAGTCTCTATTAACAACTGCATATTCTGGAATAGAAAATAATACATTTAGCATGTACTTCAAAAATAAAAGACAAAGATTGATTACATCAACAAAGCGTTCAACATCTGATTGCGCCACTATTAGATCTGCTTTAGTCTTCTCCAACTGACTTGAAACAACTTGTTTTGAAGATTGGAGCTTTCTAATAACTTTGCTGTAATCAAGTAACTTTATTAGTTACGCTGGTCAAACATGTATGAAAATCAAGACATACTTCCTTTTCAGTAGTGACTGCTTCATATAACCTAAGTTATTCAAAAGGGTTACATACAAAGGGTAGCCCATGAGTATCTCATTTTGGGCGTCATTCTGCAATTCCTCTGCAGACGCCGAACTATTGTCGAAGGACATGAAATCAAAGTCGAGTTCCAGATCCATCTCTCTGCTAAATCAGTGGATAAATTTCAGTTAATTTTAATCTATTACAAATGGTAATTTTCACAAACGAACCTTTACATTCACGAGGTAGTGAAATCGTTTGAATTACGTCAAAAAAATGTTGCTCAGTTGGTGCCGGTTTGCCATGATGGGGGCCAAACAATTGTCTCTTTTCGTCCTTTCTGAATTAGTTACGACTCTTCACTCAAAATATAGCACCTAATCTGAAAAAATTAAGGTAATTAGTTTATCAGTTCGACTGAATCATTTAAAATCCGTTAAAATTACTATAATTCCACAATTATAGTTGTTTAGTCAAGCCAAAACAACGTGCAACGTGCGTCGCCCTGCAGGACCGGCTTCCATCTTCATCTTCCGACTTCCATAACATTATCATGGCGCATGCGCTCATGGCCGGCCTCTTACAGTGGACCAACATAACATAATCACCGCAACTGCAAAAAACATGCGCAGTGCCAAGCGCAGTGCCACAGAATTATGGCCAACCGAACAGCAAGAAAACCAAGAAGAAAACAATTTCAGAAATCAGAATCATCAAGAATCATTGTATTGCGTCCTAACCCTTACTCCAAGGCCTTACTCCTTGATATTTTTTATGGAAACATAAATATAATAATGGCTCTCGTGATCTGTTTGAAAATTTGAGAATTTGAGTTCAGAGCGTTTTTGGTGCAAGTCAAAAAATTGAAGCAGACGAATTTGAAGGCAAGTTTTAACGTAAAACCAATCTGAGTGAGAATTGGTGAGTTCTGAACGACACGATCATTTTGAAGTTGCCTCAAGGACCTTCGACCCAAAAACTGTCAACAATTGATTTCAGTTGGCAGAAGACATAATTATATGTAACATAATAAATTTTCTTTGAGCTTTATAACTATAAATACATATATTACGTATAAAATATTACATAGTGGATTGCATTTATGAAATAATTATAACTTTTTATTATCACAATCCAATCAATCAATATTGTTTTTAGTGCACATTGGACAAAATTGGGATGACAAGCACCTCTGAGGAAAATTTCACTAAGCCCACGGAGAATGGTGCTTTAGACAAAGACATTGACAAGTAAAAAGAGTCATTTAATCAATACAACCATGATCTATTATATGACATTTTTACTTTCAGAGCTCGTTACTGTTGGGTGTGCTATGCGTCGGACGAGGAGGACCTTTTGGCGTCCTGGGTGCAACCTTGCAAATGTAGAGGCACTACCAAGTGGGTGCACCAGATGTGCATCCAGAGGTGGATTGACGAAAAGCAGAAAGGGGACTGTTTCAGCAAAGTGCCTTGTCCTCAGTGTGGCACTATTTATCACATAGTCTTTCCTGAACCAGGTCATTCATCATTTATTTTGAAAATTTATAATTCCTAAATTATAACTGGTCTCAACTAAAAAGTTATGAAAAATTTATGTTTTTCAAACATATAAAAGGTGCATAAAATTTTTACATTGCATTTTATTAAATCAAAGAAATTTTGATTGATGTTGGTTGTAAAAGCAAAATTTGCAACTTTTTTATTGTCTGCAGGTTTTATTGAAATGCTCATGAACACAGCTGACAATGTTATGATCCGTGTCAGTCCGTTTGTCACCGCCGGAATTGTCCTTGGGTCACTTTATTGGACAGCAGCATCTTATGGAGCTGTCACAGTTCTGCAGGTAGCTAAAAAAATATTAGGGAAAGAAAATTTAATTTTTTAAATTAGCTCTGAACATTAAAATAATTTTTTGTTAATTTCAGGTGATGGGCAAAAAGGAGGGCGTGTTCTTCATGGAGACGGCGGACCCTTTGACGTTGCTGGTGGGTCTGCCCTCCATTCCGCTGGTACTAATCCTCTCAAAACTGATCCACTGGGAAGAATACCTCCTGCAATTTGTGCGGCGCCAGGTACACTCCCTGCCGGTCCTTGGCTATCTGCTTCCATCCTTCAGGTACTGTCAACCAGAGGAGACGAGGCAGAGTGTCGAGCTGCCGCAGCTCAGCGACCCCGTGTCTTCGACTCGCATTCTTTGTAGCGCCCTCATCCTACCCACAGCCGCTACTCTCTGTGGCAAACTCCTTATTGAATCAACCTCTTCCAATGTCCAGCGGACAATTTTGGTAAGGATTTTATTTTAAATTTGTTGTAAAATGAAGTTTCAATTGGCTTTCTTGCAGGGTGGGCTAATTTTTGTTGGTGTCAAAGGTGCCCTGAGAATATACTATAAGCAACGGTGTTACATACGGCATTCCTTGAGGAGAATCATTGACTATATGCCGGAACAGAGAAGTAGTGATTTTAAACCAGAACCGGTTGCTGATAACAGTTAATTTATAATTAATAAAAGATTAAATTGCAAAAAGGAAATATACGTCATTATTATAAATAATTTAACTCTTAAGCCCCACGTTGGACACTACTTGCCTGCATGTGCGCAAATATTTCTTTCCTCACGCACCCACCATGCTGAATGAATCTGAATCCACTATATGCTCCACTATGCTTGTAATAATCTTAAGATTCTAAATACCTCCGATGCATTTAATGAATTAAATTCTCAGGTTCTTTTTTAAAATATTAAATTAACGAAAGTGAATTTTGTGTCTCTTCATTCATTGTTTATGTTATAGCTCACGAAAGGAGAACTAAATTAAACAATCAATATCCCAAAAGTATATTTTGCAAAAGTGTAATTCTGTCAATAAATAAATTTTATTTCTTATTATGAAAATAACACCAATATAAAGGCTGTATAAATAATTTAGAGAGCAAAACTTCTGTGCTTTTTAATGCTCTTCAAAAAAACGAGCATGTTAAAATGTTAAAAAAAAATATTATACAGGACTAAAGATCGAACCAAGCAGGACAAAAACAGTATAATTATTTTTATCCATGACAAATTTCAGCTAGTCATAAAATATTTTCCTTTTAAAAAAAGAGCCAATTTGTATAAACAATCAGAGTCTCCACACTAGTAGGTGGTTTGTCGAATCTTCTCTTCCAGACAGTTCAGACACATTAGAACACCTGAAGTCTTCGTAACCATCACCACCCGATATCACCAATATAGCTCTCTTGCCTTGACTAGCACTTTCTGAAGGGTAATCTACCTCGACGGTGGTCAAAAATCGAACATGCCCCGTGTGGCCCCTGCTAATTCCTATAAAGGAGCAAAAATTATAATGGAATATAGACATCAATATACATATCATATAAAAAAAACTAAATACAAAAATACCTTTAACAAGAGGTGGTTTTGCTAGTTTGCTGGTGGTTGAAGTAACACTGGGCGTTTTGATTTTTAGGATGACACCAGCACTGGTTCCTACCCAAAGTAGGTCCTGGTGCGCTACTAGGGCAGTGACCCGTAGACATGCTGCTTTGTGTTGCCTGATAATGTCATCACAACCTGCTAAAATTATATACTGTATTTGGTCTGATAAATTTTGGTTCTCATATTTTACTTTTCAGCATGGCTGTGACATTTTGGGCAACGTTGATTTCACTAAGCAACTCCATGCTCAGTCCATTGTACAGTCTTACGATAGAGGAGTTTTGCAGTGAAATCCATACTGCACTTGCAGCACATGAAATGCAGTTAATCGACTTTTCGCTTCTGAAGCCCATGCACAACTTGCTCTGCAAGAAAATTAGCAGAATTAAAAAAACTTCCAATCAAGATTTCATAATTCCATACTTCAACCTGCAGAGACTTTGTATTTAAAATGTACACAATGTTGTTACAAGCACACCAGATAAATGCCCCGTTACCAACTTGGACCATTTTTGTTACTGGTACAGCAGGACTGCTCACTGGCAAGTACAGTGGGTCTGCCCAATCCCAGCGAGTACCTAGCATTAAATTGTGTTAAAAGCTTCTTACATATCGAATAAAAAATCACTTGAATTTCTTGTATAGATAACAATACTTCCATTGGCAAGAGAAGCATAAACCCTGTTGTCCAGGTACCTTGAAATTTGAATTGGTTCAAATTTACATATTTGGTTAAGAGTTAATTTTTGTACATAATGGAGAACACAGTAAATCCAAGATTCATTTTCATTTTGCACTGCCACACGTTTCTACATCCATACACTAGGATGTTTCCATCTTCCGTTCCCAGCCACATTGTGGATTCATTACTGGCATCGTTGATCAAGTCACTGTAACTATTTGGTTCTCGGTACTCTTCAAAATGATCCTCCATATAAGCAGACCTAATTTTAAACATTTATTATTTTTGTTGTTTATATTCTTTTCAATCAATACAAAAATTTTAAAAATAAAATAATATTTTATCAGTTATCACAATCCCTAAATTACAAAATTTACCTGCATAAGTACGGTGGAGCAGCAGCCATGCACAAAATTCTTGATTCACATACCTCGTTGGTGGACAAAACTTTTGGCTCGTCTGCCAAATGAAGGACACATACTTGCCCTACATAGCCATCACTATTGCATATCCACATATCCCTAAATTAAAACAAAAAATAATTATGCAAAGCGATAGGGTTTAACAAATTACCTTCCATGATAATTGCGCTCTGAATTAGCTGTTGCGGACGCACAAGTAAACTGCAGACCTGACCTAGTTTTCCTGATTGTGACTGGGTACAGAAATTGTGGAGAGAATTTTTGATCTAAAAAAATTTAATTTGTACAAATTTAAAATAAGAAAATCAAAAATAATAGGAAAACTGACCCATTTTTTGTTTAGCTTCACTTAGGATGTTCTCCCATGCTTCTTTCTGCTCAAGAGCTTCAAACATTAACATAATACTTTCCAGCCTAAAAACAAAATTTTAATTATAAGTAATATAAGTTGCACCTGTTTCGTACTGAGAGGAAACATTCAAGGCAAGGCAGTGAAAGCCGTTCTCCTCAAGCTGCTTGTCTAGCAACTTCCTCGAAAGGTTTACTTGCATTTCATGCAAAATTTCCTCAAGCCGAGGGTTGCTGCAGTGAAGGCGACTGGCAAGATCAATAATCCTATTCACCGTTTCAGTGTCCTCTTTAATTTCTGTTATCTCGTGCATAATTAATTTTGCAGCTTCATCATGCGCTGTGTGTCAAAGAAAGATAACTAGCATATATAAAAATTTTAATACTTTTTTTCTCTACCTCTAGCAAAATCAACATCGGAAAGGGGAATTTTCATCAATACTTTAAACTTGTTGCACTCCAAAATGCTTGATGAGTTGCTGCTCAAGCTATTCCTGATAAAAAGTTCATAAAATAAAACTTCACAAGTTAATTCTTCCTTACGAGGATGTTTTTCGCACAGGACCACCTCGTCTTTTAATACCGGCCACTACCATGAGGTCAGAAAATAGGAACACCATTCTTTCTTTTGCACTGTCTCCAACTTTCACAGTGACAAGATCATGCCTGAATATTAAATTATTAAAAAACAATATTTTTCTTTCCAGTGTTTCTTAAAACAGACCTTAGAAAAGTTCGATCAGGCGCAGGGAAAATATCACATCCATCGAGAAAGTTCTCTATTTCTTTTATGCTAAGTCTACTTTCATCCTCATTGCAAGATGCTCTCCCTTTGCAGTTAATGGTTACGGCAAGTGCATGGATGGCTCTTTGTGCAGAAACTAAGTAGGAGTAATCAGGGTGCGAACTACTCGTGTGCTTCAAAAGGGCCTTCAAGTGAGAAAGAGATGTGCAAAATAAAAAATAAAAACCAGCAAGCTCAAAATATAAACCCAAAAAAATACCTGGATGAGGAGCTCGTATCTTGGGATTCTTTGGACAGGCATAATCAGGAGCGCGTCAAAGGTCAACTTGCCCTTGTGCTCGCGGGACACAGCCTCCAGAAAATTACCAAATGCTGGTTTTGTCTGTGAGGTGCTTTTAACCAGGGACTTGGCTCTTTGCCAGTTATTTATGAATTCTGTGTAGCACTCCACAACTTGTTTTTGAGAAAACTAAAATTTTACTATTAAAATTTAAAAACTAGAGTTTAAGAAAATGTTACATCCAGAAAGATGTCTCCAATTCTCTGTCGCCAGTCCCAGTTGTCCAATTTATTCTGCAGGTCATCAAGGAAGATTTCGTGGTAATGCAAAATGCTAGGGATTTGGAAAAAAATTTCATCGACAAGGCCAGGCTCAATTAGGTTCTCCGAGTCTTTCAAAGGTACCATATAGTTCTGGGAAAACAAAATGGTAAGTTTTTGGTGTAATTTAGAAGTCTCAAAATCAAATTTTACCATAATTAGGGTTCTCAGAGCTTCAACATAGTATTTCTCAGTTTCATATAACTCGTATACAACATGTGTTCTTGTATCCTGGAATATAATTCAGCAATTTTAAACTCATTTCAGCAAATATATACAGAAAATTCCAGATAATTATATACGATCGATGGAAGTGCATAGATGCGCATTTTGCATTTCTCACCACAGCAAGCAGACTGGCACATTTGCTGAGAAACGCGTCGTGCTAGACGGCACTCTCTCTTAACAATAACCATTTTACCTGTCCTACCCATCCTACTGTTAGTTAACGAATTATAATATGAAAATTTTATTTGACAAGAACTTGCAAAATATACAAACAAATAAATTGATTATGTAGTAAATCATTCAAGTGAAAAGCGTTAATTCCAGTGGGGGCACAAATTGAATAATAAAATATTTTTTATGTTTTTCACTCACCCTGATATTGACCTGTTCCTCCAGGCCGACCATCTGACAGGGACTAGAGGCGGCGCGCTGGTGGACGTGGCCGCCCTCAATGTTGCTCAGCACTGACGAAGAGGCGACAGAGGTGCTGCTGGCACCAAGACTAGTAGGGGGCCGCATCGCATCTGGAAGACTACTTTGCAGAAAGCCTAGCTCGCTGTCCACCTTGCTGGGGGCGGGAGAGGCCCTCTTCATCTCAGCCTCGAGGATTTGGCCGTAGGGGCCGCGCAGGGGCCGCTTGTTGTAGCGCCGAGATAACTGCTGGGCAGGGATGGTGCTGCTGCACACGCTGCTGTCGGTCTCGCCCTCGGAAAGTGAGTCGGCATTCTGCGCCTGGACTGGCGGCTGCAGTTCCTCCGTCTATCCAAAAGAATGGTTAATTAACAGGATTAAGTTTGACGCATTTATTCAATTTGTTTATTCTCTCACAACAGGTCAAAAATTATTTTGGGGGAAAAATTTCAAAATTTGTCAATGCGTTGATAGTTTAATAATGAAATAAAAGAATATATTCTATTCCATTCCATTATAATCTTATGTTATCCAGAGTTCATTCTATGAAAACATTTCAAGGCATGTCCCGTTTGTATAACCGACTGCCGGTTGCTATTCGGATTGAGGTATGATCAGTTTGTGAGATTGTAGAAGGATTTTGTGTCTGCACATACATTTTACTCCAAACTTGAGCTTTTCGCTCGATTTGATTTTCTGCCAGTATTTTCCATTTATCTCTTTGAATCTTGAAAATTTGTCCGCAAATATCTGCATTACTTTAATAAGACAAGCGAAGTCCACGATTATCAAAAAAGGGCTAAGAGCGATTTGTATAATCCAGCCCAGGTATTGTTAATTTCAAACCAAAACCTTGTGACTTGCATGTCTGCTTTGTATAACAAGTTACCTGTTTCGATTCGTTTGGAGCCTCGGCATAAATTTTTTTAAGCTTGCTTGAGGCGTTTTGTTTATATGCATCAATGTGCATAAGTTTTATGATAGAGAAGAGTTTTTTGAGTATATGGATTCAATGTAATATTGTTTTTCTCTTCAGTTATTCTTTCTTTTCTGTACTATGTTGCAAATGGGGCGCGTTGCGTAACTACACCGTGGCGCCGTCTCATAAGTCAATAAAGAATAATAATAATAATAATGTTTGTTTATTCTACTCAAGTCATACATGAAAAAATTGAATTGGAATTTAATAATGAAAATAAAATTGGCAAATAAGAAATATGATTCAAATTTTAATTTTTTGTGATTTGAAGACTAGATGTCTGATAGTTTTCAACGGTTTTAAATACCAAGATAATTAATTAAATGATAATAGATATGGACAAAATTAAACTTTTTTTAAAAAAAGGTTAAGTCTTCAAGATAAAAACTGCAATGACTTTAATCTAGACCGCTCTAGATTTTGAACACAAAATTTTTTTTTTGCACAAAAAATAATTTACACGCTCAGTTATTAATTATTATTATTGATCTTTATTGACTTATGAGGGGTCACCACGATGTAATTACTCATTGCGACGCACCCTATGGCCATTTGCAACATAGTACAAAACAAGTAAAAAATATGAATGAATATATCAAAAATGGTTACTTTTGTTTCTCATTTTAGATCCGAATCTGATAAACGAAGCTCACTATTCTAAAAATTAGTTACTGAGAATTTTGGACATTATACATTTTATGATTTTAGAACTTACAAGAGATTCAGAGGCGGCAGTGCTGTTTGGAGGCGACTCGTTGGCAATCTGGAGGAATCCAAGAGGCGGCAGTGGCAGCAAAGTGTCGAGTAGGGTGTCCGGCAGGGGTCGTGGGGGCAGTTCGACCTCCTCGACCGAGTTGTGTCGCAGCCTGTCCGTTAATTGGCGGAGGCGCGCGCCCTTAGAGCGACGCGCGTGCCTGGGCAGCGGCGCCGCCGCGGCGCCAAGCAGCAGGTCATCGGCAGTGGCGGGCAGGTCCGGCTTCTCGCGCACCGACCTCGACACTGACCTCAAGTCGCTACCGGACATGGCAGTCCATAGTCCTGCGGCCGACCGAGACCAGCAGCACCGCTGACTTGCAAGCGGATGGGCCCGACGACCCACCTATACCGACACACAGACAAACACGCGCTTTTAAAATTAGAACAAGCAGAAAATAGAACAGATCTTTCTGCCCACAACCAACTGACACAGAGAGAGAGAGGAGCGAGAGATCAAGAGACTGGCTGAGGATGCGCTCTGTCCTTCGATGCGCGAAATCTCTATTGAAAAAAATTTGCAATTTCATAGATTTTTTTTTGCTCCATATGGAGATGGAAAAAGTTTTCTAATAATGTAAAATTATGAGAGCAATTTTTTTTTAACTTTTGCAACCTAAGACAAAAATTTTTAAAAATTTATTTGCATATTTAAATTTCCTGACTTTTTGGTATAATTCCTTTGACTGTATAAAAAAAAACATTACAAATTCTTACAAAATATTTCCAAAAATTGATTCTTTTTTTTCTTAATCAAAATGAATTTTTTTATGATTGATAATAATGTGTATTTATTAATATGTTTATATCTTTTGATCTTATTCTCAAGTTCAAGTTTATTTAATTTTGATATAAGCTAACTTATACATTTTACCGTATAAAGCTTTTGCAAAACAAGTCAAAAGAATAATTATTTAGAGCAAAAAATTCGCCCATGTCATAAAACTGGTTTTCCAGCACATATATTTTCACCTTCATTACAAGATCATCATCATTATTACAAATTTTGATATTTTTTGGTAATGCATTGAAAATTCTCGGTATCATTGCAGCAGGGCTCTCTGCAGATATTGCCAGTCTACTTGAGACTTCAACAAGGTCTTCCCGACTAACATTATTTTGATTATTTTGTGTAACTTTTCGGTTATCAATTATACCAGGGTCACTATAATTTTTGAACATTTGGCGATTTCTAGTTAAGAACTTGTCTATCCTTCATTTCATTTGACCTAAATAAGTGGGTTACGACTAACGACGGAGACATTATATGGCATCACTAATTGACAAAATAAAAGCGAAAGAATAATAATAATTAGGATATTTGACAACAAATGCAATCAACTGATACAAAAAGTTGAAAATGACATAATTATATTTACACTCATTTGTCTTTGTTGTTGTAGCTCTTATTTCACGAGCATCATAAAAGCAAACAATTAATGTCAATCTGTTATTTTAAATTTTTGTAAAATAAGTTTTTTTACTTCTTAAAATTTTCACTTAAAAAATCATCCAAATATTTCAAATAATAATAATTTTCATGTTTCCAAGTTGGGGAAAATAAGTAAATTCACATAAAACTTTTATATGAGATGTTTTTTTTTTCTAAAAATTTAACTTTTATAGGGTAGGCCAAAACAAAGTCTTGTCGGCCTGTGCCCTTTATCAGTGCTGCAGAAGGCACCAAACAATTTTTCATTTATTTTTTTATTTTACAATGAAGATACCCCGCACGTACCGTCAAGGTCAAGGAAAATTAAATGAGTTAAAAACAATGGATTGATTTATATATTAGAGAGGCTGTTAAAGAGTTGCACATTTCTCATTGCAATTGCAACTTTTATATTTATTTTATGTCGCAGATATTCAGCTAAAAAACTCCAAGAAAGAAGTGACAAAAGAAACACGTCTACCACGGTAAATCCGTGTATTGAAACAGAAGTTAAATACGAATATTAACTTTTGATGTTCTTCATCTTGGCTTGCCGTGCGATTTTTAATATAAATATCATAAATATAATTTTACTCGCGACTTCTTTTGTTAAAATACATAATCTAAAAAAAAAAATACCTAATGCATAATTTTCCACAAAGATGCTAAAATTTAAGTTTGTATAAAATATGGATAATTTTAATTGGAAGAAGATAATAATCATAAATTGTAAATACAATTATTATTAAAAGTTAGTAAGCACGCGAAACCGTGACGCAATTAGTTTTTCACAAAAACACACCAACCAAAAATATGAATGAGAATTCTCGGTTGAAATCATCGAATCCTTACCAAATGAACCCGTTCTCGGCGTGGGCGGTGAAGGTACAGAGGACGAGATGAATTTGGCACAAACAATCCAAGTCCAAGTACAGAGTGTGATGAGTTCTACGTCTTTATATCAAATCACAACCATGAGTTCTTAGACTTGACTCGATCATCTCTACCCACAATGAATGCTGCGTTGCCATGCCACAGCAGCTGTCAAATCTATCTGCCCACGCTTTCCTCTCTACCAGGAGGTGTCGTTGATCTGATGCTGCGCCGCACACGGAGATCGCATCTCCAGCATCACTACGGAGGCCGGAGCGGTTGCTATTTGCACAAATGTTGAGGCAAATATTTGTGCGTTTTATAATGACACAAAAACGCTTCTTTTTTTGAATTCCATTGAATGCTCAACAACGTGTAATCTAAGTACTATAATTTTTTGTAATTTCATGAGGCTAAAAATACCCTTTTTTTAAAAAATGATTTCGAAATTAAACTGCGCAACAACAACAAATTCTTAATGAAGCAAAGGATAAGACGCACGCCCATTTTTCTTAAGTTTTTCCCGCCAAATTTAAAATATTGCCTACGCCTGCTCTAACTTTTCAAACATGGCGAACTTGACGTTCGATTTATCGTATCCCGTATATATTTAACTTCCCTTTATTTTGTTTTGGTCAGCGTCAGCAGTAGTAGTGTGTGGCACAACAGAAGGTCTCATCGACAAATATATCTGCGACTTTCCTTTGAAATTCGAGTTTCCGCAATAGATCTTGCGGTCCATTAGGAATTTACAAAATGCCTTGGACGGTAATTCTTTTGCTCGTGATCGGTCAAAGCTGAGCTAAAAATGGAAAGCGGCAAGACTTCTTTAAGAGATCTGCAGCAGCTGCTGCGCTATTTTTCCACTTACACGTATAAGGCCAAAGAAACTCATCCAACTGTGAGTTATTTAAGACTTGTTATTGTGAAATAAAGAAAAATATTTAGTTGAACTTCATGGGACACTTAGTATTTTGTGTTGCTAATTTTGATACATACATAATCTATTTTTGGAGGGAAGAAAATTAGAAGGTTGAAATTTACTATTACATTACATATTATATTTTTTTTATAGGCCAACGATGCTATGAAAAAATGTCTTCAGCTAATATCCCTGGATTATGAGTATTCGGTAAGTAAATTAGTTAATTTTTTCCACTGGTAAAAGTCTCAGTTTACATTTAAAAATACCTAAATTTTGAATTGTAAATAAAATAATAATAATTCCAATAACTCACCTCAAGACTATTGATAACTCTTCTGGTGACCTGAGCAACCGATATCCAAGCCACCTGATTGTCCTAGAGGGTGAGAAGCAGAACTCTGGCATCGATCATCAGCCATGCACTATTTATGAAAGCACCCTAGACTCAGGAAAGATGAGGGAGGTCATTTCCAAGGCCAGATTTGCTCGTTGCAGGTCTAGATTTCCAGTGCCCGTCATTCTTTACCGTGGAAAGCACATTTGCAGGTATTTGATTGAAAAGTTAATAAATATAATTTTAAATACAAAAAAATTGTGCAGGTCAGCAACCCTTTCAGGAGGTCCGGAGCTTTATGGTCGGTCAGGATTCAGCTTCTTGTTCTCCTCCATGGGCAACAACCAGGCGCCTCCATCACCCCCCCAGCAAAGTCTGAATTTGGAGGATGACGATTTGGATGAGGAGTCGGAGATCGATGCCTCTCTCCGAGGGGGTGAGTGGCAGTTGTTTGACAAGGTTCGCAACAAGGACATTAAGCTGCTGAAAATGCTCAGCATCGGCACCATCATTGACTTCATGGTTGAGAAGAAGAAAATCAAATTTGGAGTTTAGTAAGGCTCAGAAGAATTTTCGATTGTTTTTTCATTACCACTGGCAATGTTTCAACAGTGTCACTTCATCAGAGAAGGTTGACAAAGAGAACCGCTATAACGACTTCAGAATTCTTGCACTTCCTTACCCTGGTTGTGAGTTTTTCAAGGACTTCCGGGAAAACAATCACTCTAGTGATGGCCTTCTGTATGATTGGAGTCACCCGCAGGTGGACACTGGACTCTACATTCCTGAAGACGAACAAATATCTCATCTTCGTATAGATTGGAGTCAATATCAGGTTAGATTCATATAAAAATTTATGTGTCATAGTTAATATAATATTGGAGTTTAAAATTTTAATCCAAAATTAACTTTGTCATGAAAGAGACTAAAAATCATTACCAAAAAAACTAAATTTTCCTCAAATTTCTTGATATCCTTGATATATTCATCAAAGTTACAACATAGTGGATGAGACTGAAGTCTGAAAAGGCTTGCCCACCCCCGCCGAATAACTAATGGCGTGCGAGCTCCCTCATTCACTTGATGTTGTATTTAGTTGATTGATAAAACCTAATTATTATTATTATACAGACTTGTTGTAAAGGCAAATTGGAGATGTACTATATATGTCTAATGCAATAAATTTTGATCTAATCTAATCTAATCTAATCTACTATTTTCAGAAATGGGATTTGACTGAGCTGACAAAAAACTACATGTTGCTGATTTTATCGTACATCCATGAGGCCAAAAGTGGCCTGTTGGTGCACTGCATCAGTGGGTGGGACCGGACGCCGCTGTTCATCAGTTTGCTTAGACTGTCGTTGTGGGCCGACAACCTTGTGCACCAGTCTTTGTCGGCAGCAGACATCCTCTACCTCAGCCTAGCATATGATTGGATGCTCTTTGGCCACCACTTAGCTGACAGACTGAGCCGAGGAGAGGAAATTCTATTTTTCTGCTTCCACTTTCTCACACACCTTGCCGAGAATGAATTCAGTCTCCACAGGTTAAATAATTTTCATGATGGAAAATTTTAATGTTTAAATTTAAAAATTTAAAGACCAAGGAAGAGGTCACCAATGGTGAGCATTTCTGCTAGACATGAGTCGGAATCTTCTTCAGTTACTGATTTTGAAGAATTAGAAGTTGAAAAGATTTTGTACCCACAAGAAGGATCGGTTTCAAGTAGTTTGAGCTCTAATAAAAGTGAGGACCATCAAGTTTTGTACAGCAGTTTGCCTGGGTACATGGAACATTCTCAGATAGCGTAAAAAAAATTAAGTGTAAGAAAATTAAATTTTCAATATTTCTCAAATTTCCCCAGAGGTTCTGGACAAATAAGTGAAAGTATGTGGGCTTCAGCTGTGATGTCGATGGAATCAAAACATTTTGAAGATCAAAACTCTGAATTATTGTCCTCTAGTCCCAACCAGCGGAGTAGTCCACGCGTTTCAGAAGCCCAATCCAGTCCCGTTGCAGTGCCAAAAGACAGATTTAGACATCGGCATGACTCAAATGGCTCGTTTGCTGGAAGGTTCCTATCAAAACTTTTCAAACGTTCTTTGAATTATCATTTTATTCAATTTAGCTGGCAAATCATATCTGACCAAGGGAGTATGCGAGGCTCAAACTCCTGTGGAGTGTCTGATTCGGTCTTATATCTTAAAAACAGGTGACTAAATAAGTCTCTTTTATGTTACTAATGGATCTAAAAACAATGAAATTATAAATTCTAGCACTACTACTTCTTACAAAGCTTCAGAAGACATGACACAGTCGAGCATTACTGTAATTGAGAATGACAGCTGCTTAACTTACGGAGAAATTCCTCAGACGTTAGATTTATCATAATTTAAATTTTTTAAATATTAATTGGTTCATTTTAGGAGGAAAGAAAAGTTGAAAGCAGTGCAGAGCCTCTTTTTCAATGTTTACCACTCAACTTCTCCTCTGCCTTCTGAAGGGATCAGTCTCAGCTCATTTCTTGGAAATTTTGCAGAAAAAGTAGGCATTTTCCAGACTGCCCACTCTTGATAGTCTTTTGAGGAATGAGTAGCATCGGCAGGTGCATCACACAAGACTGCACACAGAGTTAATTTTCTCATTTTGTTGTTACTTTTTCTTGATTTTAACTTGTTGATCATTAGACAAATTCATTGTTCTAAATTTTATTTTCTACTTATTATAGTCAACTGTGACGCCGCAGAAATTTTAAATAAATTTTTGTCATAAAAAGTGAAAGTAAAGAATTTTATTAATACAATCCTAATTATTATTTTCATCAATCATTATAGACTTAAGGTGTGATACTGAAAGCAGCCCAAGCACCTGCAACTGGAATAAAAAATGGCTAACTATAAGTGAAACTAAATAACTAAAAGATAACCTTCAAATAGCAAACACAAGTGTGTATCTAAGAAATAATTTACTTATTCAGCTTTTTTTATCTTGGAGATTAAGATAGCTAGAAGTAAGCTTCCGCCAAAAACAAACTCAATGAAAATTAAGTTATTCGAGTTGCGTTGAGCTTCCAGTAGAATGGTGGTTGTGGATGCGTCGTTCTGACTGCAGTTAAAATGACCAAATTGGAGTAAGTAAAGCAAACTATTTTTATAAAAGATTTACTTGATAAATTATTTATATATTTTTTAATTACCTACTATAGTATTTTATTTTCAAAATATCTTTTTGTAGTTTGGGCTGCAGTGCGGCAAATATTCAGGTATTTATCGCCTCCCGGTAAATGCTTGATTATGAGTTTCAGTGAGTTGTTCACTAGCACTGTGCCTATTTTTCTCCCAAGAAATTTTTATAATTAAATTTTTTGACATGTTTGGAGAAATACAAGCTGAATTCAATTCAAATAGAAAAGTGTATTATATTTTTAAAAATTTATATATTTATAATCGCGAATCTAAGTAATCTAATTAATTATTTTTCTAAAGGAAAATTTCTAATTTAAAATATTCTAATCAGCTCTCAAATTAAAATAAATTTTATATTTCAGATTACTAATTGCAACACTGATCTTAGCGCAAGGGTTAGTCGCCCAAAATGAAGAATTTCCAACTTTGCAAGAATTTCAGGACACCTTTTCAATAACTTCAGAGGATCACCAAATACGTGAAGTTTCCCATCTGAATAACAACAGCTTTACTTCTGAAAGTAAAAGCTCGAAAACGAATGAGAAGTTTTACACAAAACCACCCTTCCAAGTGCTAGATATTTCAAGCACCGAAAAGCCCTTCAATCCAGCAGCTCCAGAGCCATTGGTGGTGCAAATGATTCCGGACAGTCTCCTTCCGGAAAACGATTCTAGCGCGTCAAACATCAACAAGCATAAACAAAACGCTGCCAACAACTTCGAAAAAGAGCAGGAATGGGATTATGGGTTGAATAACGAGTACCTGAGTTACCTCCAATCCAAAGGGATAATTGACAAAGATGGTGATGAGCTTTTTATCGCTGAGGAGGACGGGGACGACGATGACCCAAAGGTGGTCAATTATGTGGATGACGACCCAGAAAATTGGGATATGAAGACCTTGGCCAACAATTTGAAGAACGATGACCAAAATGATGAGAGCTCCAACTCAGAAGAGCTGATGAAAGTTTTGTCACAGGAGAATTCTGAATCTTGGGACAGTTGGGTGGAAAAGCAGCTTGAAGCGTATTTGAACCACCTGAAGGGTGGTCACAGGTCTCATGAGAAGGACGCCCAATGGTCCTCTGACTCAAGAGAAACCAGGGCTAACAAATCAAAGACGGTTGAGGTCCAAGAGTTGAAAATGGAAAGTCAAAATTTGAGGGAACAGGAAGAAGCTCTCACAAAGGTCAAGCCGTCCATGGCGATTTTGCCTAATCAAGGCAGGAAAAATAGCGTACAACATTGGAAGAAAGTGCTGCGGAAGGGGCAAAATGAAAAGGTCATAAGACCAGATTACTTATCGGAAATGGAAACTCCCACAAAATCGCGAAATCGAGAAGAGGTAATAATAAGGAACCAAAAGGGAAATCGTGAGGACAAGAAGGAAAAGGGCTCGAAAAAGAAAAAATTCAAAGGGAGGAAATATAGAGAGGATAAAAGTGATAAAATCAAGGAAAATAAGCGATTAGGACGCCCAAACAAAGATAAAGCGCCAAAGAATTCAGAACTTTTTACAAATCGCTTGAAAAGCGTTTTCAAGGGAGGTAAACGCAAAGGCTCAAAGGGCGAAGAGCTGAGAAATAAAAATAGTCGTTTAGATAAAACATCTGCGGAGGTCAAGAAAAATGACGAGTCAAAACAAGTTGAATTAAGCGTAAATCCGATGCCCCAGGCGGAGGTCACTGTCAAACTGGAGGACCTGGAGCACACAAGGAATTTGCTTCAGAAGTGGAGGGAATTCCTGCGGCATGGTAAAACTCAAGTCAGCCCTAGACAATTTCCATCAGACAAGAAAATCGCACCAACGAATATTAAGAAGAGCAAAGAAGAAAAGGCAAGAGTTAACATTCGTAAAATTATCCACCGTAGCTGGAAGTCGTTTTAAAGAATAATACAAGACCTGATCGAGCGCGCGATACGGGTCAAAAAGTGGCAAATCAAAAGGTGGACAATTCATTTGGAGTTGTGCTGAGAAAATCAGAGAGTCACCCTCACCGCAATTTAAGCAAAATTAGTATTGTACATTGTATCTAGAAATTGTGTATATTTGCAAACAATTAATTATTAATAAAATAAATTCTAACATATTTACGGCTATTAATTAGTGTGAACTAATGCAATAAACAAATCAAAAAAATATAAAGGAATTTATCATTTTTTTTTTATTTAATCATGTTATAAATAATGTTTTTTCTTTCTAAACTTTAAATAATTTGGGATCATTTGTGATTCTAGCATATCTTCAATCTTTTTTTTATTATCAGTAATAAATAATCAAAAATAAGCAGCTGGAAATTCCTAAACAATCCGTGTTGAATCAAGCAAACTCTGTACTCTGTGCCAACTGCCTTTCAGCGAGATACAGTTTTGTGTTGTATATAATGAAGTGCTGAACTTGCGAAACTTATTATTTGAAAGCCAAATCGCTAAGGTTAATGCGGCTGCTGTGGTGAGATCATTTTTTAAATTTTTTTCTTTAACATTCATTTTAACAATTTTCTAGTATTTTAGTAACGGGCCTCTGGCTTGTAAAGCAAAGCCACTGCTCATTGGCAGAAGAGAAAAATTCGTTGAATCAGCTAGAAGACACAACAGCGGCGACCAAGGATGCACTCTTGAAAGAAGTTTTGCGATCGCTGAAAAATAAACTAGACATCCAGGGTCACGGCAAACAGCACTTGGAAATGTGGCTGTTGTCAAGAATTGGAGAGTTGCAAAAGAAAGGGAAGGATGACGAAATTGCTGAGACTTTGAAGACATATTTAGACGTTAATAAAAGGACTGCAAATACGGCCGCCTTAGAAAAGTGGAAAAAAGCGACATTCAGTGAAACCAAAGATGACCCAAGTCTTGAGGCGGAAAAACCAAATCCGCAAAACTTGTTTTTCAATCACCAGCAAAAACTCCAAAACAAAGACAAACAGAAAACACCTGTCACAGTGAGGCGAAGCGAGACGCAAAATTTTCCCGGAAACAATTTAAAATCGGGCACTCTTGCGAAAAGAGAGAAAGCAATTAACGTGGAGGCCAAACTGATGAACCACCACATGATGAATTTAGTCAGCGTCAGAAGCGCTGAGGTTAGCAAAAAACTCAAAGCAAGAAAGAGAAACGAACGCGCAGGTGGCTTTTGGGCTAATGGTCACAAAACAAGCTACAAGCAAAAGTGATAATTTTGTATTAAACTTGAATTTTGATATTACAATTGCACCTGCATGGTTTATGTACATCCAATAAAGAGAAAAAATATTGAATAGATACATTACTATTTTCAATTGAGAATTGAATTGCAATCTCAAACCTATTTCTTAATGTCAAAAGGAATCAATTAATAGTTGCAAATGAAGTTGATTTGTGCACCACAATTAAGGCAGTGTCTACCCAAATCAAGATACATAATACAAATAATCAAAAAGTTATAAATGAAACTACAGCAATTGTAGAGAAGAATCACATACACTTTCTTAAGAGGCTTTTTGGAAAAAAATTGAGAAAGCAATAAAATGTAAGGAAAAATATTTCAATTATATATTTTTTATTATTTTATATAATAATGTGTTGACTTTTTGTTCTTAAAAGAGATTGCATAAAATTTTTTAATCAAAATAAAATTTCTATAATAGTTCTTAAAAAATTTTGTTCTTTTTCACTTTGAAAGTTTTTAAATTAATTTAAACTGCATCTCACAGACTGTCAGTCACGGCTCTTAAAAATTTTCCATAATGGCAGCTTGCACTGCGCAGTTTTACTCTGGACATCTATTTTTGTAATCAGACGCGACACCCTTCTCTACAATCTGGGTAATAATTCGAAAGAGCTCTTTCGTATTAATGAATTCACAGTTCCATAAGTTATTTGTCACAAAGTAAAACTCCCTTAAATTCAAATTTTTTCGTAACTGCTCAACTATTTCTGACGGTATTCTGTCTAGCTGGTTGTGCCGGACGTCCAAATGGTAAACAAACTCATAAAATGAACCTTTGGGCATTGTTGCTAAACTGTTGCTGCTAAGGTTAAGATACTCCAAAGATGAGGATGTTCTGGACAGAAAGTCGTCCGTCAAGTTTTCCAAATTGTTGTGACTAAGGTCAAGCCATTTCAGGTTTTGGACGTCTTGGAGGAAAAACTTAGGAATGGTAGATAGTCTGTTGCCCCTCAGGTCTAAGTGGGTCAAGCTTTCCGATCCTCGGAGCAGAAATCGCGGGACGAAAGCCACAGCAGAGTCTGCAAATGACACCCTTTTGAGTTTTCGAAGATCTGACAACAGTCCCTGAGGAAGCTCGATGGACTGAAGCCACTCTGCGTCTGGATTGAAGAGAGATCCTTTGAAGTTACTTTCAAATTTGAAGACCTCTAAATGAATGTTGTACCGCAAAAGGTCACCAGGGAGCACTTGGAAACGGTTGTTGGACAGATCCAGGTGCTTCAGTTTGATCAGAGGAGCCAACACGTCTGAGGAGATGGCATGAATACGGTTGTGGGACAAGTCGAGGTGGCGTAGCTCTCCCAAACCGAAAAAAGAAGCGTTGGTGAGTTTGGAAATACGGTTGCCCCAAAGGTGAAGTAGCCATAGGGCGGAAAGTTCTTGGAACTGGTTTTCCTCAATTTCAGTCAGACTGTTATCCTCCAGGTAAAGTTCCTGGTTGAAAAGAATTTGGAGAAAAATAAGAAATTGGAAATATAGAGTGAAGAAAACAGGCTTTGGCCTGGGTGAAGAATTTTCTATGTTCTAAAACAAACGACTCTTTTAATTTTGTCACGGGGTGTACGACCGACCCTATATCATAAGCAAACGCACTGTTCACTGACTTATAAAAGTGTGAATGTGAATGAAATAGGGCCACAATCCGTGATCAAAACAGGCATAGAGCTGTTTGTTTAAAAAATCATTTTTTTTTTCAACAAGGACAAAGTAGATTTTCTTCATGAGTTCTACATTATTCAATAAATATTTGCAAAATGTAAAAAAAATATATCATTTGCAGCATTAAAATCACAAACTCAGTATATTTTTTGAAGGTGGAAAAAAAACCCATAAAAATACCTTTAACAGAGCAAAGTCTTTGAAGCAGGAAGGGTAGATAAAATACAGATGGCACCTTGAAAGGTCCAGTTGTCGCAGACCGTTCAGCCCATTGAGGAGCCTAGATGGCAAAATTTCAAGATGGTTGTTGGAAATGTCTAACTTTTCCAAGTTTGTCCATTCTCCAAGTCTGACCCTTGAAACAGGCAAGGAGATGTTGCGGATGAAAAGACTCTTGGTGTTGGATGAGACAAAAACGTCAGGCGGACAGTTGGTTAGGGACACTTCTGGCGCTGACGGAAGAAGAGAAGGTACCCGTTGAGGGTCAAAGTCTGGCAGACAGTCGAGCTGCAGGGTGTGGTTGGGAAGAATGAGTCCGTTTAGTCCCGGACAGACCAATAGGAAGAGGTCCTCGGGATGCTCTGGACAGGTGCAATTTGATGGGCATTTCTGAGCCAAGCAAGACAAGTTGAATAACGATAAAAGGAGCAGAGAGTTCTTAACAGTCTGCATGCTGCTGCAGATTGCGAGAGATTGGATCGAGGAAGTGAAAATAGAGCGATTGACCCGGTGACGTTTGCATTGACCCCAGTGATGTAACTCGGCCTTGATTGCAGCAAACAATCTTAAGACAAATGTACAAAAAGAATTTCTAACAGAAAATGTAGAGAGTATAATTATGAGATGTTAAGACATGCGCAATTATATATATTTTATTTTTTTATTTATTATTATAATTATTATTTCGGTAAGTTGATTATGATTTAAAATTCTATAGCTTTAGACGTTATTTTTATTCAAGAAAATTCTTATGCACATTATGTTTAAAGTTAATTATTTATTAGAAAACTATGTCAAAATATGCATGTCCATAATGTCTAACTTTGATATTTCTGTATTGTGAATTAATTTAAATAAACAAGATATTATTAGTCCGAAAATGGCAGATTTTTTTTGCATCTGCCATTTTATGAAATTTTTTCTATTCAGATCAAATAAAAATTTAATTAGATAAAGACAAGGTACATGTAGTTTATTAATTGAATTAAGCATTAGGCCCATCGTCAACAATTTCATCCCCGCTCTCTTCGTCACCCTGACTGTGCTCATGAAGCACCACATATTCTCGAGAACTAAACCCAAACTTAAGCACATCCTTTTCTTTCAGTTCCACATACCTTTTTGGGTCGATTTTCTTGTTGTTCAAAAAAGTTCCGTTTGAAGATTCAAGGTCGATTATGTATGGTCTTATGGCCTTGAAGGATTTCACACCATCTTCTGATTTTATGCTCACAAGACGATACTGCAGGGCTGCATGCTGGGCAGATATTGAGGGGTGATCCAGTCTGATATCCGCCACTCTTCTGTCCTTTCCTATAAAATATGAAAAGGATTTCATGCAGATTAGAAATAATTTTAATTAACTATTTGATCTTTTTGTGATTTAATTCAGTAGTTTGTAAGTTTAACATATTTCACAATTACTTTTCAGTAAGGCAAACTCTAATTTAATTATTTGTGATAAAAGTTTAAGAAATTTAAACAAACCTATAAGATAGGCGCTTTGCCTGTGAATGTAAAGGGTTGGCAGGGTCTCGTCACCCTTGAAGACATAAAATCGCCACCGCCTGGTCGACTTTCTTGCCTCTGGGGGCTCAGAGTACTTGACCACAACTCCGTTGACCATGTTGGTGGCTTCCGTCAGTTTGCCAGACAGACCGAAGTTGGGCTGCTCTTTATCCACCTGCTCTTTTGGCTTCTCCTCTCTGTGAGCACTCTTGCCCCATTCAAAATTATCTTCTTCGGCACCATGCCTTTTACGACCTTGGAATCCACCTCGACCCCCTCGAAAGCCTCCGCGACCCCTTCCCCTCCTAGAATCACTACCTTCAGTCCTGTCTCTTCTGTCGTCTCGGACGGGTCTGAAATTTAAGCTTCATTAAAAATTTCAGAGGGAAATTTCAGTTTATGATAATACCTGGATCTGTATTCGTCACGGTTTCGTTCTCTTCTTCTGGATTCATCTCTGTCCTTATCACTTCTGCGGTTGTGTTTTGTTCTGGTGTCTGAACCTGACGATGATGCAGAGCGACTTCTTTCCCTTTTAATTTTTTTGTGATGGTGCGATGAAGAGGAAGATTTTCTTGAGGGAGATCTCATCTCTGAATATGTAACAGCAACAAATTGAGTCTATGCTACGGATTAAAAACAAACTTTCAACTGTTTACCTAAGAGTTATGTAAACTTTAAATCGCTAATAATGGTATCAGATGTAGCGGGAAAATTAAATTGCGTTCTGAATCTTTCCCAATCAAATTTTGAAAAAATATTTCAAGCGTTGTTTATACACTTTACACTGGAGTTTAATTAAATTTTGACTGAAACGTTGTTTTGCTGTACTGAACAGGCAACAAGCAAGTCAAGCAACACTCCAAACAGTCCAAAGTCCAAAACTGCTTCAAACAGCACCAGAAAAATAACATCACCTGGCCACCTAGCGGTGGCAAACACAACAGCCAAGAGAGGAGCTTGGCCAAAGTGGCAGAAGATGGGGTTGATTGGCTGTATGGAACAGCGAGAGACGACTATTTACACGTATATCACTGTAAGGATTCTTTGCGTTTCCGGCAAAATAAAGTAAATAAAAGTTGAGGAAAGAGAGAGAAGAACAGCAGACAGCCGTAGGTAGATCAGCGTGTCCAGCGTAGACAGAGTTGAGGGTTGCCCGTGAGCTCGCTCGAAGACCTACTTTTTGATCTAAGAAGAGATAAGTATGTATGTAATTTTTACCCATTTTTATAAATTCGTCTGGAGTCCAAAGCACATTATGTAATTGTATGTAATTAGCGAATTTTCCTTCAGTCTCGTTGAAACGCTACAATGTCGAATCCGGAGGAGAACAAAGAGATGGACAGTGATAGCAGCAACGACGAGGATTATGTTCCAGAGGGTTAGATTCATGATTTTTTAACCCTGCGCACAACATTGTTATGTGTTGATTTCAGGAGAGTATCAAGAGCTCTCAGAAGAAGAGTCTGGCTCTGAAAATGAGGATGAAAGCAATGCACTTTCAGACTGCGAGGAAAACGCAGGGGTAAAGCGCAAATCAAAGAGCAAGTCAAGGTCAGTTTAATCTTGAATTCTTTAGGCTGTTAAAAATTTTGCTAAAATATTTTAGAAGGTCAAGGAAAAGGGCAAAAACAACGGTGGCTGAGGATCCTGGGGAGAATAAGGCTGTGAAGGTAGCGAGCGAAGAGGAGGTGAAAAAAAAGGCTGATGATATTTGGGCTGCATTTAAGAAGGACACTGGTGCATTATTCTGTAATGGTGTCAATGAGGTCAAAAAGCCTGAAGAAGAAAAAGACGCAGCTTTCAAAAGTATGGAAGAGAAGCCCCTCGGTGATAGCAGCAAGAAAGAAGAGCAACAAAAAATATACGAGTTTGCCGGAGAAACGCATGTGTAAGTGGAGATGTGAACTTTATTTCTGGAATATGCAACTTTTAAATTTAGTTTGACTGGAACATCTACCCTGAAGCCAATGCAGCAGTCAAGTGGTCAAGCACCTCCAACCTTTGGGGCACATAGAAGCCGCGGAGGCGGTTTGGCTGGACTTATGTCCCAATTAAAGGGCAAAGGCACCAAACTCAGCACTTTGGAAAAATCGAAGCTTGACTGGCAGAACTTCAAGAGCAAGGAGGGTCTGGCCGAGGAAATCCAAACCCATAATCGCGGCAAGCAAGGGTACAATTTGCAAATTATTATTATTTTACTCTTCAAATAGTACAAGTCCAGCCAAGTTAAAAAAGTTTTTAACAAAATTATGAATTATAGCATTTCATTATGCTTTTTCCGTAGATATTTGGAACGACAAGACTTTTTGGAGAGAGCTGATCATCGGCGTTTTGAGATTGAAAAACAAATGAGAGCAACAGCCAGACGAAGTAACAACTGAAAAAACCTGCAATTTCCCAGAAAAATGATCTTCATCATGTGTATGGCTCAGTATATTATCTGAAAATATCATTAAGGAATGCAAATATGATAACAAATTTAATTGTGAAGGACAAATTACACATAAAACAATTCTCCCCTAACCTCGGCAAACAATCTTATAAGTTCTTCTTTCCCAAGTCCTCTTCTTAAAGAAAAAACTGGAAATTATAAATCATCCTTTAGAAAAATTAATCGCTTTAAGCAAATCTGTATTACTGTCTCGAGAAGACGTATTGTGAGCTGCTCCATATTTAATTATTTCCCGCACAAATCCTGTTTTATTCTCCATAGCGGCAAGCATGATTGCAGAAAATCCATCAAGCGTTTCGGTTTCCAAAGCAAAATTTTCTCTGACTAGAAACTTTAAAATGTCAACATTTCCAGTCTGTGCTGCTTTGTGCAGGCAATCAAACCCTCTTTTGTCTCTGTGCCACTTTAAGTCTGTGAGACTTGAGAAAAATTTAAGCATCTCCGTATTTCCTCCAGTAGCTGCGTCCAGGACAGGTGTGGTACCGCAAACGTCATGCGAGAGGACAGTGTCCGTCCCACCAGCCTTGATTAACACCCTAACAACAGCAAGGTGGCAGTTCAGAGCTGCTATATGGAGGGGAAGGCGTCCGTTTTTAGAAGCAATCAAGACGAGACTTGGACAATGATTGACTAGGAGTTGGACTGTGTCCGGCTGTCCGGTTTTGCTGGCCAGGTGCAGTGCTGTCCAACCATCTTTGTTCTTGAGCTCGGCATTGGCGCCAGCATCAAGGAGGATTTTTGTGGTCAGGTGTGCTTTAGGGCCTGATAAGGTACAGGAGACCATCAGGGAAGTCCAGTCTCCTTTTTTGAAGGAATCCACTTCAGCTCCTTAATGAAAACTGATTGTAAGTAAAAAAGTTTCTGCAATGACTCTTCATATAGGGTCATTTTATAAATGTATATATTAAATGAAAAATATACACAACCTTTCTGGAGAAGATAAAGCACAAGAGCATTGTCCTGTGAGGCCACAGCAATGTGCAGTGGCCTCTGTTTTAAATTGTTGCTCACTTCCAAAATTGATTTGGTGAATTCAGAGCTTTCGCAAAATATTCTGAAATTGTCAGAAAATATTAACAAATGAGCGTAAATTTCATTCTGACATTATTCAAAATAATTAACTTAAATTCTTCTTGTTACTTTTACATAATAATAATAATAACATTTGCTTGAAAAATATTTCCACAATATAAATAATAACGATATTTAAAGTGATATAACCTTGTTTCCTCCAAGCCTTGACGAACGATTTGATGGAATTGTGTATCGCCAGTTTTATTATTAACACTGTTCATTATTTTGAAATTTTAAAATCATTTAGAGAAGCTAAATTGCTACAAAAGTTATGTGAATGTGCGGACTTCCAACTTATATTTGAGTTAATTGACCAGCTGCCAAACTACAGCCAGTTCAGACTCTGCACGCTAGAGACATTTACGAAATGCGGTATATATTGAAACTACAACTCGTAAATTTCGGTTCCAATTTTATGAAGACATGGTAAATCATGCAGCATATTTTGAAATATAATCGTCACAAATCGTGAAAATAATTAATATAAAGTTAATAATCAAAATGAATTATGGAATTGATTATAATAATATTTATGCAAAATAAATTATTAAAATCATAAGAGAGACATGAGAGATGTATCAACCATTTATATGAGATCCATTTACACATACTGCAGGTATATTCAGGAACTAGAGAGGGATATGGGGAAATGCGAAAATTTATTGGTCATAATTAACACCTGCAGAACTAATGGGATGTCTGTTGGCGACTAGATGAATATTTAGTGTTTTGACTAATTGCACATTTGCTTGATCATGTCACGTACCACGGGTTAGTATGTGTTGCATGCGTACTTATTTGCATTGAAGAGCTGTCTGCAGAGCTGCGTCGGTCTTCATGCTAAAACATAAAGTTTAAACAACTAATAATATATAATATATATTTTTTGCCACGTTCTCCTTTAACAAACAAAATTCTAATTCATTTCAGAAATTTTGCATAATATTTTGTCTCTTATATCGAATTGTTTTAACTGCACATCGACCTCTTTAGCTTGGCCTCAATTCCCTTTTGTCTCGAGTCGCAAGGGACTTAAGTTTTCCTTTTGTGCTGGAAATGTCCCACAATTTAAGTCTGCATCAGGGATGTATTTATTGTATTTTACTCATTTGTACTTTTTCTGATAAACAAGGATGGACAAAATCGCAAAAGCGATCTGCGATCCGCGATCTGATTGCGATCGCAATCGCACCAATTTTTGAAAAGATGATCGCGATCGCAATCGCAAAAGGTGGTTGATCGCAGGCGATCATTTGCGATCTTTTTGCGATCGAGGAAAGAAAAATTTGTATGCTTAATGTGGGCAAATTTAATGCTAAATCTGGAAGAAAAATGTCAATTTCAGGTAATTTGACAGAAAAATTTCTTAAACTAAGGCTTTTCATTTACGGAGTTCATTTTTGTTCGGACTCCTCGTTCTGAAACCAGAATTGATAAAAAAACGTTCGGAAATTTATTTTTAAAAAATATATTTGATCGCAAATGATCGCAACGTTTTTGATCGCGATCGCAATCGCAATCGCACAATTTTTAATTTTCAAGATCGCAATCGCAAAAATTTGAGATCGCGTCCATCCTTGCTGATAAACTATAAGATTTTAAGATTATTTGCACTGTATTCAAATAATTATGATATATACAATCCCATTAAAAAAGTTTGATTCAATTTCTGACATTTTTATTTCTTAGTTATTTGTTTATAACAAATTTCCATTTCGTTAGGAGTCAGAATATTAGTCCATTTGAACCGAAATGGTGATTTTAATTAATCATTTATTATTGGGTATTTATTCTTACATGATAAAGGGTGTTTTCTTAAATATAAATTTCTCTTCAATAATGGTGCGTTTAAATTTAATCGTCTAATTATATTTCTTAAACTAGCTTGATGTTGGTTTAGCCTACTTTACTAATAAATATAATTTTTTTTTATAAATAAAAATTAATTTTAATAAATGTAGCAAGTCATATTTTTATGCTAAAGAAAAAAATTAATAGGCGCCATAAGAAAGGTCTACACCGTGATCGTCCACACCTGAATAATGATAATTCTCATTTAGATTTTGATAAGGTTTATGTGTGTATCATCACATTTATCACTTCACATATTATGAAAATTATCATGATTATTCTGGGCTGTTTTTTAATTAAATTCAAGAGGTTTAACACAACGTTAGAAATTGTTGTAAAGTACAATATTTTGGTGCTGGTGATTTACAAGTTTATTATTATAATACAATGCCCCGAAGCTAAAATATTCAGCTGCTCAAATATTATTGTTTCAACAGGGATTCTCAGAACCCAAGAAAATTTGTAATTCAAAACGCATTTTATATTGAAATCTTGGCGCACCATTTGAATTTGTGATATCCACGGCAGCCTCATTTACTTTCATAACTCCACCCCACCAACAAGTAATGCATACCTGAACCGAGTTCTCTAATAATCCCTCAAACGGGAAAGAAAAACTTTTTCCAATCGACACACAGAATTTTATTTTTTATGGTATTGAAGATGGCCCGTATTGTTTTGAATTTGGATTTTTATATGGTGAGAAGGGTTAAGGTTTAGTTTATTTGATGTCTTGGCGGAATGGCTTTTCCGAGGATTGCAAGCAGCGGCATTTTGGAGAGAAGCAGCGCCATAAATTGCAAGGTTTTACGGCCAGAAAAACGGTCGGCGCGCGTCACATTTGCAGCAGAATAAGGGCGGCGTTATGTTCCAGCACGTCACACAGAGAAAGAGGCGGCCGTTTGGCTGTGGCTCACAGTGAGGAAAAAAAATACCCACTACAAACACGCGAAGATGATGCTCGGCGAGCACAATTCCATTTTAACTTTTCCCTTTGTTTCATTTAAAGTTGGCTGATGCTTCTGGGGCCCTAGGGACCAAACCTGCCGCTCTCTCTCTCTGCTGCGGCTTCTCGCCCTCTCCTCCCCCTCCTCTCCACCGGTCGCTGGTCAAATTTACACGGACGTGTGATGTGTATTTGCTCGGTTTTGTGGGGAGGGAAAGTGGAAAAAAGGTTTTTAATTTATCACCGGCCGGCCATTACAGCCCGATGCTCCTTTCCCGGTATGAACTGCGGCTGGCCGACGAATACATAGCCGGGGGAATTATTAAGTTAATTCTTTTGTCCCCTCTGCCTGCCCCTATGAGGGAGAAATGCACTAAATAATTCTACCTGTGAGCTCCAGTTACTTTTGTAGGAAAACACGTTAAAAAGCGAAAAAGCCAAAAATTATTATCAGAACATCTGATCGTTTACTCCCAAATATAGCGAACTTGCTGTGTGATTTTCCGTGCTCCAGAGCAAAAACATATTGAATTCATTCTCAAGCTCTAATATTGAATTAAATCTAATTGAAATCTACCTCGAGTGTTAGCATTCCATTTAAATCAAATTTACTATGCTTTCCTAAGTTGCTTTCCTTTGCATCTCATTTAAATAAATGTTACATTTATGCTCGATAATTTTCATACCAGTTTCTTCAATTGTTGTTGAGTTCCAAATGACCTCTGTTGTGAGAGAATAAACGAATTGAGATCATTCACATTAGAGTGTTTGACGGGACCAATTTTTGAAAATTTTCCCGAATTTTCTTCAAAAAATTTCCCGCGGCTGGTCCCGTTCCCGGGAGTACCTAAAACGAAATTCCCGGACCCGTCCCGAGTCCCGATTCCTGCAATCAGTTATTTATCACCCAATTTTCGTGGTATGCAAATAGCACTACTCGTATGTACTGCGGGTTGCTTATTTTATATCTTTCTAAATATTGTCTTGATTTCTTAATTTATAAATGATTATTTATATTTTTTTTAAAGAAAGTGCGAAAAGGATTTTGCGATTGTAAAAATGCTATTCAAAAACTTTTAATTTCGACTTGGCTTGAAAATTATAATTCATTTGACAGAACGGGGAATTGAAAACTGGTTTGTCTTTGCAACTAACTTTAATTTCCCGGTCCCGTCCCGTTCCCGCTGCTCTTTAAGAAAACGGTGCCGGTCCTGCGGGAAACCCGTCGGGACCGAGTCCCGTCAAACACTCTAATTCATACACAAATGAAAAAAAAGATTTTGTGAGTGCGGTGACAGAGGATGAATAGTTTCATTTTTTTCATTTAAAACTTCTGAATAATAAAATCTGCTGTTCAAAAATAAAAATGATTGCATATAAAGTAAATTTTATCACCTGGAAACATATTGTTATTAAATTTTTTTTTACTTTAAAGAAATGTTTTGAAACTTTTTATATAAAATATTTATTTTTAGCTATATAAAAAACCAAGTCCGCGCTGATGGAAAGGAATTTCTATTTCGAAACAATTCTTTAGTTTCGTTGTTTATGTACTCAGACGCGAAGCATCGCGGTGGAGCTAACTTAGCAAAGTCGCATACATTTGTCGGCCTGGTATTATCTTAATGAAGCAAATTAACTCTTGACGCACAAGTTGTTGGTGCGGTGGAGCAGAAGGAGTGGCGCACGTTTAAACAGCAGCACTGCGGAGTTGCTGCTCGTTAATTATATCTTCTCTCTCTGAGAGAGCTGGGACTCTTACTTAGGCATTTACCGAACACGTGCCTCGCGGGAATATTTCATGCACACACGCGCGCTCCGACGACGGTGTATTACTTACTCTCCGCTGCGCTTGTTATACTCTGCTAGCTGCAGACCATCAACAATTTGCTAATCCCGCGGGCGCAAAAACAATCTCGAGCATCTCATCCATTAAGGGGCACTTAGCATCGCAAAGATATTTTTGACTAGGCGAAACTCAAAAGGGGCACTGGGAATATTAACTTATAAAAATTTTCATCATAATACATTCAATATATTTTTCTTCTTCTTACCCAGAAGAGATTATATAAGATCTTTTCAATTCAGATTCAATAATATGGTCGGGGATGAGAGGCAGAAAATGGCCAGTAGGTAATGTAACGGAAACAGTGAACATAATATTTTACAATAACATAACAGCAAGTTTCAGGTTTTCCGCAAAAATCTGCATTTTTTTTAAACTAAATTTCATTTTGATACAGAACCAGAATCAAGGTTTGAAGGTTCTAACAATCAGATTAATTTTTTTCTTGAATATGGCAACTCGCGGTTCGCGATGAAGTTCAAGAAGCTAATTAAAAAAATCCATTTTTAAATAATTACTTTTAATTTGTGCCAGTGCTTATTAGAGTCTGTTGTTTGTTGTTCATTCAGTGCTACAAAATGTGTGTCTGGATTTTGGATTTATTTGATTTATATTATAAATAAGGTTAGCGAGCTGCAAAATTGGCCTGACATCGAGATTTAAGGGTGCGAGTGAGA